GTCAATCACCTCTTGGGCTTTATTCGACTCGTATCTATCGTCGTCTTCTGTTTATTTTTCATATCAAGCTTCTTTTTTCACCTTCTTTATCTTCTTTATCTTTTGTCTTGATTTATCTATATGGGTGTAGTGTTTTTGTGTGTCTTTTTTATCACGTTTCTCGAGTTTTTGTTTTCATAATCCAACCGCATCAAAAACACATTACTTTCAAATCATCGACTAAAATATATTCTCATTAAATAAAACCAAAAGCCACCAGACGTACAGACCTCTCTGCAAATACAACCGCATAAATATAACCACATAAATAGACCCACGGACGCACATGCATAGACAGCTGAGCCTCGGAGTGTGTTGTCGTCCGTTAGCAAACAAGAACGCACTTCAGGGGAATCAGGATACGTTTTAGCGGCTCCACCTGACCAATCATCTGTTCTTGTTTACGTTGGAGACTCGAGTGGGATAGACATTATGGTGTCTTTGAATCAAGATATGTATTTTTTTCGTTATAGTCCTCGCAAATCTCTTGGGGAAAGTCATGTTTTTTGTTCTTCTTTTTCTTCTTTAGTTTTTTTTTCTACTTTTATTACCCTTTTATTATTATTATCATCATCATTATCATTATCCCTATTATTGTTATCATTATTATCATTAATATCACATTGATATTTTAATTGTCATTATCATTAACATTCTCATTATTATTCTTGCTACTACCTCTGCTCTGTTATTCATATTGTCATTATTGATGTCATTATCATCATTATTGGTATCCCCATTGTCCTGATCATCATCATTTTCACTACATTATCAGTTTCATTACAGATATAAATTATCTATAAATTATCATCATTGTCATCAACTAAAAATGAATTATTAATTATCTATAAATTATCATTATAAATCATCACAATTATTGTCATTACCATCATCATCGTCCATTTTTTTTTTTTTTTTTACTTGTCTGGAGAGAATCATTAAAATTCACACTTAATCCCCGTTTCCCTGTCCCATGGCTTTGGTTTAGCATAAATCTCTCTTGCTAACGATTTTTCTTTCATTTTTCTTTCTTTCTTTTTGTATCGTCATCTTGTGCGTTTATCTAATCTTCATATTCTCTCATATATATCGTTTATCTTGGACATTTCCTGGTGATTCTTTATTGTACCCTATTGTTCTTTTTCACTTGTCTATTTATTATCTATTTCTGTTTCTATCTTATCTATTGATTTATCTTCCTCCTATCTATTTCTATTTTATTTATCTATTTATCTTTTTATTTATTCAATTTTTCATACAGTATGCGCAGATTTAAGTCATGGAGACAATTCGAACGTTGTGTATTTGGAGAAGCCAATTTACCAATGCAAATTACTGTGATTACAATTAATAATTGAGTTGTTAGATTGTGAAACCACTCATATATTATCTGATCGCCAAAAATGGACCGTTAGAATAATTAATGTCTTATTAAAATCGTTTTAAGTCATTCTTAAGATAGATTTTGCTTCATAATTTTCGTTGAAGTGATACACATGTGAACAGGTTCACTCACTTCACATGATGTAACTTCAGCTTTCCTTTATTTCTTAATATCAAAGAAGAAAAGAAAAGAAAAGGATAGATAAAAGACACGTAGGAGCCGAGAAGTGAACATTTCTTTTTCTTTTCTTTTTTCTTTTCACTTTCTTTTTTTCTCATTTTCATTCACTCCAAAAAGGTAGTTTTAGCGGCTCTACCTCAAAATACGAACGTTTATGTCACTTTTTGTCACCTTGCGAGAGACCGCAAATTTAACTGTACTTCTTCCATAAACAAGACGAATGAACAAGGACAAAACATGAATAAATTAATTAATGAATAGATGAATAATGAAGAAGTACGCGGAGTGGCAAACCGTCTCACCAAAGTCAAAGTTTTTGCAGCTTTTAGCGCATCGGACTCGACCTATTAACTTTCACTTTTTTGCATATTCGTTTTACTTACCTAGTCGCCTAAGGAGCGATTCACTTAACCACCAGTTGAGGGATTGCCCTAATCACCCAACTGAAGGATTCACCTAATTACATAATTAAATGATTCACCAAATCGCCAAACTTAATGATTCACCCAATTAAATGAATTACCTGAACACCCGGTTTAATTATTTAATAACCTAAATGAGTGATTTGCCTAATCACTCAATTAGATAAATCACCTAATTACTTAATTGAATGACTCACCTAACCACCCTATTGAACACTGCATCAAATCACCCAACTGGATGATTCAGCTGAACACCTGAACGGACGATTTCCCCGCCCACCGAGACGAGTGATTCGCCCAATCCCGCCAAACGAATCGCGAATCCTGTACTCACCCTTGCCTCTGCGCCACCTTGAGCCACCAGCGGGGGATCTTCTGGGCCAGCGCCCCTTCCTGCAGGAGGAACACGCTCACAAACACCCAACTGAACACCTTCATCGTTGCTCTGTACAACACAGTCTCTTCCTCACAGCTCAGTCATAGCCAGGCTCTTCCCTCCCCAAGTGCCTGCGAGCGGTCACACCGGGGCGGTAAAACGGGAGGGGTTTTCTAAGGAAGGGACCGGCGGGGAGGAGGATGGAGGAGGGGGGGGGGTTTGGGTCGAAGAGAGGATGCCCCAGTGCCAGTTCAGTGCCAAGTGCGCTCCTCCTCTCGCTCTCTCTCTGCGCTCGCTCGCTCGCTCTCTCACACGCGCGCGCCCGCTCGGAAGGGTCGTGTGCCCGGCGTCGGTGAGGGTTGCCTACTGGCTGCGCGCTGGGGCTTCGGAGTGGATGGCTATACCAGAGCGCCCCGCAGATGCCACCTGTTACTCCCACACCCACCTAGCACGCCTCCCCCCCCCCCTACCTCCCCTCTCACGCCCACGAGCCTCCCACACCTCGCCCTCTGACATAACCGACGGGGTCCCTGTGCTTCGGAGGGAGAGAAGGAGAGGGAGAGGGACGGGGACGAAGGAACGGTCCAGTGCCTCTGCCTCCCTGCCCTCCCCCTCTACCCCCCTCCCCCCGGTGCCTCCGCCTCCGCCCGCACCTCCCTCTCACCCCCCTCCCCCCATACCTCGCCCCCCTCAAGGTTCGCGTGGGCGGCAGTAACAAACCAACTGGGATTTCAACACCTTTCCTTGGCCCTCCTTAGACTGCGCGTCTCCTTAACCTCCTCCTCATTTTCATGTTCATCTTTTCTCATTATCATCAGCATCATTGTTATTATTTTTGTTGCTATTAGTTTTTTTCTATAATTTTGTCATAATATTGATAATAATTATCATTATCATGATGATTATCATGATTATTATTATTAATATTATTGTTGCTGTTGTTGCTGGTGATTTATTTATTATCATTATTATTATTATTATTATATTATTATACTATTATCCTTATCATTATAATTATTATCCTTATGTTATTATATCATTATTAACATTATTATTGTAGTTGTTATCATTATCCTTGTAATTATAATAGTTATTATCATTATTATATTACTGTTGTCATTATGATTGTGATGATGATTATCATTAGCGTTGTCATCCTCATCATCATCATTATTATTGTTATTATCCTTATGATGATGATGGTGATTATCATCATTATCATTTTTCTTATTATCATTATTGTTTTTATTATTATTTTATTATCATCATCATCATCATCGTCATCATCATTATTATCATTATTATTATTACTCTTATCAATATCATTACCAATCTCATTATTATTATCATTCATTGTTATTATCATCATCATTATCTTTTCCATTTTCGTTATTACCATCATCACAATAATTATATTTATCATCACCATTAGACCTTCATCATTAGTGCTATTATCATCAATATCATTATCAACATTATGGTCACTGTCAATTATCATAATATTCTTTACTATGAGATCATTATCATTGCTTTTGATAGTGATAATTGTTATTATAAAGTGATGATGATAATCAAATATTGATTAATATAATTATTAATTAATATAATTAATATAATTATTAATATTATAAAATAAGCGATGATGATCATAGTAGCAATAACCCAGTGATGATAGTGATGATAATGATATTAGTAACGATAAAGGTAATTTTGATAAAATTGATTATAATTATTTTAGTATTAGTGTAATTATGATATGCTAAAAGAATGATAATAATGATAATGATGATGATTATGATTATAATGATAGTACTACTATTACTACTACTACTACTAATGATAATGGAAATAACAGTGATGATGATAATGGCAATAGTAACGGTAATAACGATAATACTAATAATGATAATGACAAAAATGATAGGAATGATAATGATGATAACGGTAATCATGATAATAATGACAATGCTAATAATAGTAATGATGATAGTGATAACAATATTAGTAATAATGATAATGGTAATAACAGTAATGGCCATAATAAAAAAAAAATAATAACAATAACTATAATGATATTAATAATGATGATGATTAAGAAGATGGTGATACAAGAAAACACAAAAGAACAATAAAGAGAAAAAAATAAACAAAGAAAAGAAAATGCAAGAAAAATTAGTAGAAGAAATAAGAAAATAAGAAAAAAGGATGATAATAATATCAAGAAAATGAAGAAGAAGAAAGAGATTGAGAAAATAAAATAAAGATAAATCTCTAAGAAAAGAAAAAAGAAAATAAAATAAAGATAAATCTCTAAGAAAATGAATACACAGAGAAAAAAAACAACAAAATGCAACTGAAAATAAAGAAATAAGAAAATAAGAAAATGAAGATAATGATATAAAAAGGAGAAGAAAGAGAGAGAAATAAAAGAAAACAAAAGAAAAACGAAATTCAAAATAAATGTCTAATAAAATCAATCAACATAGAGAGAGAGAAAAAAAAAACATGCAAAAGAAAACGAAGAAATAAGAAAAAATGATGATAATAATAATAAGAAAGAGATACAAAGAAAAGAAAAGAAAATCAAGATAAATGACCC